TGCCTTACTAACATAAATGAACATTTGCACGATATTCTAATTTTTCGAGTTTCACCTGTAGGTGCTTCTCCCTTTATAAAGCCCCAGATTCATCTTACATCTGTGGAAGGCCTGAATTGACAGATGTCTGCCATGTGATGCCATTCTGTGTGTCATATCAGGCATGCTTGTGGGAAGCTGAGGATAAGAGTGAATGGTCCCATGGAATGAAGAGCTGCTGATTCCTCCTCCATTAGAGATGGGGTTGATCCTCCTAACACATGGAGTTTTGCCACTGGGTTTAGGCAAATAATAATTCTTCTCTCCATATGGTCCCCTCACTTCTTCCTCTCCCCTGGTTCCTTAGCATGCTTGCCAGACCATAACCTAATATGTTTTCACCACATATGTGATCTTACCAGGGATCAGTAGTTTTCACTGACTTTGCTACCTCCATCATTCATAGATTTCACTCCTGAAATCTTCATGTGGCTTTTAAGGCATTGGTTACTACTCCAATGGCTTTATAAAGTGTTCCTTAGGTTTCTGTCCTGCAAAGTAGCTTTCTTATTGCTTCAATCTGATATGTTCTGGAACTAGTGACTCTATCAGTTTGCAGTAAGCAATTTGTTTTTTCTGAATTCTGTGAGAATTTAAACTAATCCAACATTTATGTCTGAAACCAATGTTTCATCAGTTGCAGTTGTGGCTTCCTTTACTTGCCCTCATCTGGTGTAGGAGACTAGAGAAAGACTGGCGTAAGCTATACAAAAACTTTTGGCATTCATATTAACTATAAACAACATCTACACACTATTCAAAAGAGACAATAAAAAGGAAAACAAAAGACCAGAACATCTCCTCACCAGCAATCATCACCCAGATAAGCAGAGATTAACACCAAGATTATCACCAAATGTACAATCAAGCAGTAAACAATACCCTAATTAAGGAACTACCAGAGGGGGAAAAAATAAAACCCACACTCCCACCAACACTGGCAGGGCATGCCACTATATATAAACAGCAAGCCCCATTCCATTCTAGCTCTGAAGATGTTACCTAGCCTGGTAATGAAATGTTTGCAAGAAAACCAAGCTCAGAGAACCCCAAGGACTCCATTTCAAATTTACTGCTGGGGTACAGAGTGTCTACTATAACCATCTTGGAATCGATCCAGCCTCCAGAGCTTGCTGTGAATGTCAACCTGCTGCTCTTCCAGCAAGAATCATGGTCCATTCCACTAGAGTGCAGCCATTACTAACAGTGTTCCTCTTTTAGATACTTGTAATCATGTAATCACCTAGCTGTATGATCCATTTTCTCTTCCTTTTACATTGCAAATCTTGGCTAATGTTATCTTAAGGAAGGTTTTTCAATTTACACCACAGGGTGCTGTGCTGGGTGTAAGTTCCTACTTGATTGAAACCACCCTGTTTAGTCCCAGCTGCAGACACCATCCTCCACTGTTTGAAATTGGAACCACGGAGATCCTTTTCCTACTGTGGATGGAGGGTTACTCAGTGTTCCCTTGATGAGATTTTCTCTGAACATGGAGATCTTGCTTTTTTCTGGTCTTGGAGCTCTCATTTTAATTGTTGTTCCCATCCTTCTATAAGGATAGCAAGGAATATTTGATCTTGCTTGCTGCAGGAAGGAGAACCCAGCTTTAGATACCTTCCTCCAGTGTATAAAAGAATATTTCTGGTAATTCCAGTGTGTCTATTCCCCCAGAATTATTTGTTCAGTGTTGGCAATTTATTAACTACAGTTTTCAATTTTGAGTTCCATTATATAGTTTGCTTAGATAATACAAAAGTTATACAGTTTTGCTAAAAATTGCTAAATATTGTATATCATATTCCAAAGTAGATTTATTATCTGTATTTAAATGCAGTTTCTAGAAACAACAGTCTATTTAAATTGTTTAGGAAATTTGACATTACATTCTGTTCTAATGCAAATTTGCTTTTATAGGAGATTACACAGTTGTTTATACAGATGGATGTTGTTCAGGTAATGGACGCCATAAAGCACGTGCTGGAACAGGTGTATATTGGGGACCTGGTCATCCTCTGTAAGTCAGCTGTTTTTCTTTATATCTGCTAGGAGAGATTTTGGCAGGCATCATGTGTGATCTTCACTATAGCTTTACAAATATATCATGCATAATGAACTCTGAAGAGGAGTGGATATAATGTTCACATAGGGAGGCTGAGAGGATGTTTGGACAACCTTTTAAATAGCATTTGATTCATGACTGGTCACTACGAAACTTTGAGCCAAATTGGCAATGCAGTTTTCAGAGGGAAGGAGCAAATCAAATAAAACCTGTCCAAAGCAGGTCATGGCCCCACCCGCTCTTGAAGTGCAAACATTACCATGCCATGCAAATCATAATGTACTCCTCAAACCAACAGAAGTTCTGCATCTTACCAGCTGCCATTCATTTAACTATTGGCTACAGACCATGCCATATATGCAACCATTTTATCTATGCCCAAGTTATTAGTATGTAAGACAGGTGAGTTTAGCTGGTCCTTGTTTAATGAACACTTGTTCAGTGACAGCTTGAAGTTACAACAGTGCTGAATGAGGGGACTTACGACCGGTCCTTGAAGTTGCAGCCATCATAGCACCCCTGCAGTCACGTGATCGCAATTTGGGTACTTGGCAACCAGCCCACATTTATGATGGTTGCAGCATCCTGCGGTCATGTAGTCACCATTTGTGACCTTCCCTGCTTCCCACAAGCAGAGTCAGTGGGGAAGCCAGCAGGAGGTTGCAAGTCATGGTCACATGACATCTCGCTTAATGACTGCATGTGATTCACTTAACGATGGCAACAGAACTGCCATTGTAAGTTGGCATGGTCATGTGGTTTTTCGATTTATGGTCACTTGGCAATGGAGCTGCCAGTCCTAATTACTGTTGTTAAGTGAGGACTATGTGTATCGAAGTGTATTGAAGGAATTCTATACTTTAGTCTAAGGTACCTTTTATATTGTACCTAGTTTTGTATGGAATCACATTTTGACTTAATGCTGTTTTCAGTAATTTTACTGTATGTTGTCCTCCACAGAAATAATAGTGAAAGACTTGATGGACGGCAAACAAATCAAAGGGCTGAAATACATGTAAGCAGTGACTGAATTAATGTGAAACTTGTGCAACAAGGCCATGTTCAATTTATTTAATTTTGCTAGGAATGTAGTCTGATATTTGTTCATCTACAAGGAATTGATCAGCACTACTATAAAATGGAAAGCTTCGCTATTCATGTCCGCCATACCAGTAGTCCTCACTTAACGACCACTCATTCAGTGACTGAAGTTATGATGGTGCTGAACGAGTGGTACTTATAACTGGTCCTCACACTTAACCATTGTTGCAGTGTCCCCATGGTCATGTGATCAAAATTCTGGCACTTGGCAACCAGCCCACATTTCCGACCGTCGCAGCATCCCGCTGACACGATTACCATTTGTGACCTTCTCTGCCAGCCTCTGACAAGCAAAGTTAACGGGGAAGCTGGCAGGAAGTCACAAAATATGATAATGTGAAGTCCTTGCTTAGTGACCCACGCAGTCTTCGCTTAACAACTACTGTGAAAATGCCATCTTAAGTCGTCGCAGTCACATAGGGTCCTCACTTAATGATCGCGTTGCTCAGCAATGAAGTTTCCAGTCCCAATTAGGTTCGTTAAGTGAAGACTACCTGTATATTATTGGAGCATTTCCTGCCAGGCTTCAGTATTTTGCTTTTATGCCAATCTGGAGTGTATAGTGCCATTTCAACTCCAAGGGATCTGAATGATGCAGATAATCTTGATCCGTTTTATTCTGGTTTTGGGCAGTTTTTGCCAAGAACTAAAAGTTAACATGAATATGTTCCTCTTGGCTTTAGAGTGCTTGTTAGCTTTCAGTACCATTGATTGTGGCATATTTCTGAGCTATCTGGGTAGGATGCAAGTTGGAGTTACTTGTTTACAGTGGCTGTGGTCTTTCTGGATTGGTAATGCTGGGGAAGGATTCTTATTTGTTCAATGAGTGTTGTCTTGTGGATCCTGTCCTCAGGATCCTGTCTTATTCTCAGACTTGTATCTAATATTGCTGGATAAAATTATTCATAGGGTTTTGCAGTGTGATGCAGTTTTTATGGAAGTTACCCAACTCTTACCCTTTGCACTGACTGGCAGTTTTTCAAATATTGTAGTGGTGTCTGATGTGGTAGTAATGGATTTAATGGGGCCAAACAAGTTAAACTGTGTTTTTTACTGGATAGTGGTGCTTTTCATTAGTCCAAAGGCAGACAGAAGATTGTATTCAGTCTTTCACTGAGTGGGTTTATTCTAGAAACTCCAGCTCATAGTCTTGGTATACTTCTTAAACCTTCACTCCTTTATTTAATATCCATGAGAGTTCCCAAGAAAGAAGAGCTTTATTAAGGTAAATATTTACAGGAGTAAACACGCAAGGCTCCCTGGGACAGACACCAGTATGTATGTATGCAATGTTCTGCCATGGCATGTCTATACCAGAGGGCGGGTTTGTAAAGCTTTTATACCTAACACACTGAGCATTCATTGATCATGGTACCAAACAGACTGTCAATTAAAAATGTGTGAGAAACTAGCTTATCAGCTTGTGAAAAGCCTTTCCTGTGAACTCCTCAGTATCTCTGCATCTGGCATGACTCCCCAGGTATATTCCCAGGCCATGCTATGCTCTACATCTACTATTTATACTAAAAGTTCAATATGGTGTTAGCTTGGTTCAGGGTATATGCTAGTGTGACGGTGAAGTTGTCTTTGGAGATATCAGAGCTGGCCATGAGGAAGAGTGACATATTGGATTATTGAAATATTTTCAGTTGGCAGCTGCCATTGAAAAGTACCCAACAATTTCAGCTGGTCCAGAATGTCATGCCCAGGCTGTTGGCTGGGCCTCAGTGCCAGAGAGCACAAGCTATCTTTGTAAGCAAAATTCAGAGGGCTGGTTTTCTCCTATAAAATCAAATGCAACATGGGATTGGGCTGTTTGAAACACCACATCCCAGGCTTTAATGGTCCTGGGAATCATCCTTCAGCCCTGCCATCATGAGAGGTAAGATAGGTAAAAACATGAGAAAGGACATTTTCAATGGCTGCTCCCAGGCTTTAGGGTTTCCTGCCCAGGGAGGTCTCACGGATCCTGTCGCTTACAATTGTGCAGTGCTTCAGAGTCAAAGGAAAAAAAGGTATGGATATGCAACTATAGCACTTGTCTACAACCCCTTCAGTCAGCAGCATCTTTTCCCGGGATCACATAGCTGCCTTTCGCAGCTGCTGCACAATTCCTAAAACAAGATGCAGATCATTTAAGAGAGTTACAAACAGGTGCTTCAAGGCCCCTTTTTGCTTCATATCCAAAATACTACCTTTGCTTTTCGACAAGCATTCAAAAAACGTTTTTATTCAGGCAGGCCCTGGGATGGGAATTTTGCCTCAGGAGTTTTCATGTTTCAGGTACGATCTGTTCCACTGATGTGTTTATTGTCACTGAAATAAAACTACAGTATCTTGAACTGAGAGGAATTGTGATAGTCACATGAACATTCATTTCACCCATCTACAGCAAGAAAATTCATGGCTAGTCACCCAGGATGATGTGTAAGCCAATGAAATATTCATAAGTAAACTCAGTAGTTGTCATGGTAAATAGTCAGACATGGTTTACATCCTTCAAAGGGAACTTGCACATATCTGTAGATGAAGTGTCCTGTACTGCAATTGAATGGCAGCGATGTTGTGTGTTACAGTCCTAAAACTAAATACTTGCTCAGCTTTCTCACTCCTGAAGTATGTTCTCTAAATTTCTCTTCAGGCAGCTTGCAAAGCAATAGAACAAGCAAAGAGTCAAAATATCACAAAACTGGCGATCTATACTGACAGCAAATTCACCATTAATGGTAAGCATTTCAGTTGCTGAGTAGTAGTTGCAAGGTGAAATAGCCTTCTTTAATGATTACAGATTGCAGAAGGCATACATTGTCTTACCGAACATGGTTGACATACATTAAACCCATTTTTTCTGCAACTAAGAATGTGAGATTATTTTTTCCCCTTTGCTTTTATTTATTTATTTTTTTTAAAGGGCATCAACAGACCTGGAGAGAAAGAATATATAATATTCTTGCAAGGATCTGGGGTCTGAAATGCTATGGTTGATTGCCCTGATGAAATTTTCTGTCTGATGTCATACTTGATGAGAGGGAGAGCACTTGCTGTGTGCCTTTCTACATTTGGACAAAGATGATGGCATATGTGCAAAACTACTGAAATCCCTTGTATAGCATGTTCCAATGACCTGCACCGCTTGCTCAAGCAGACCCATGGCCTCCGTTACATGTATTTAAAACGTACAGCTCTTCTTCCTGCACAAAAGAAGTCGGCAAAGTGAGATGGCAGATTCTAGTAAAATTTATGAAACATATTTTATAGTTTTGCAAGAATCCACTATTCCCAGGACATTTAATGTGGTGCCTGTAAGCAAGTACATGGCTCTGCTTCTAAACACAGCATTAAATCTTTACCTTCCAGAGTAGAATTGATCAGTCTTTGCATAGTGTAACCAGAGAGCTGGTTCATAAGCAGAAAGCAAAGACATATCATCAATATATTTCCATCATAAAAGAGTCATAGTTTTTAGCTACTTCCCATGGTTTAGTTCTTCATGTAATGTTAAATACCAATTTTTGGTATATAAATAAAAACCATATCCACCTCTTTAAACTGTATGGCTCTATCCAAAACTATATTAACAGATTTCTGAATATTATACCAAAATGGAACAGTAGTGGAGCAAGCCCATATCATATGAGTAAGTGTCCCCTTCATTTTATTACAGTATTTCTAGCACAGTGAATTTGACAGACAATTGTTTTTAAACATTCTTTGAGGTGTCAAATAAATATGAAAAAATCCTTTGTTGAATTATCTTAACATTGTTAGAAACATTTATTATTGCTTAAAAACTATTAACCACTTATTTATTAATATAGGTAGTGTAACTCTTTTGTCTGGAATTCTTCCAAATAACTAATTTTACAATAATCGTCAATGGTGTGTAAAAAAAAATAACATATTTGGACTCATTCAAAGCATAATTCAGTGCTGTTTATAATTTAGGAGTCAGGTGCTGCTAATGCATTTAGTCCAAATTGTGAAATCAAGAGGTTTTGATTGAATATACTGCCATTTTGCAATTTTAAACAACCCAAATTCCTTTTGCAATAGCTCAAATTATTCAAGAACTTGATTGACAATTAGCTATTCTATTAGCTAATTAATATTAATGCTTTTATTAGTCCATGAATTCAAGAGAGAGATAAATTGATCTGCAGTTTCCAGGCTGGAGTTATGCCTAAATTTAAGCTGCTGCTGCTGCTGCTGCTGCTGCTGCTGCTGCTGCTGCTGCTGCTGCTGCTGCTGCTG